TATCAAGAAACTATTTGTTTTTCTGTACGAAGAGAATAGATTCTCTTCAATAATTTCTGTTCATATGATAGAGTGAAGTCATTCAGCCCGTGAAACAAAATTTGCCTTGTGATAGTGTGATAGTCAAATAGGCACAAAAGAAAACAAACTGTTGTATTATTGTAATATCGATTTCAGAGGGTTTTTTTGGCTTCACTCTAGGGGAAAAATTGAATTGCCCAACAACAATCATGTCTTTGGCTGCAGTGCTGTAGCAAAAGAAAAATGTTCCTGAGGCACTACGGTCGCATATAGGGGGGTTAGGGGGCATGCTCCCCAAGAAAAGTTTGAAATTCAGACACTCGGAAATGTTATTTCCAGTGTTTTGCCAAGCATACTGTGACATTTTTATGTACAATTTTACACGATTTTTACTTTTGTTTCCTAATAAGAAACATTCACTTTTTCATTAGGGTTTTTGGGAATTATTTATTGCTRGATGAAAAAATTCAGATATACAAAACAAATTTCCATATCTTGTTTTTTTTTATGATTTGCGAAAGCAAACAATGAATAACTAAATATATCATAACAATAAATTATTAATAAATACTTCATACGTGATAGGATTGAACTTTTGGAAGGTACCTGCCAGAAAAATTTATGCAGTCCCTCAAAGAGGAAAACAGCCACTCAAAAAACGCTTTCGCCCAGATGTACAAGAAATASCTGATGATGATGATCAGGATGTAGATGATGGTGGTAACAGTAATTTCCACCAACTAGGTAAACTAGAATAGTACTCACTAAATCTGCCCCCACATTTTGATATCTAAAACACTAGCAAAAGACATGGCAAAAGTCACCAAAAGATTTCATTTCGTGAGTAAGTTATTTAATGATCAATATTTCTCAGATTGAGTCTGTAAATGTCTTCTTTGGAAGACGATTTTTATCTAACATATCAATGTATTTCATAACATTTAAACAGAAATACCAAATTGGAATGCAGACTCAAAGTGATCTTGCAGGCTTAGCTAAAGTTCAAGAAACAAACGTTTTGAGAATGAATTTGTTCATTTAATCAAAATCGAGAATTTGCAATTAATATATTTGTTTGTGAAAGAGCATTCATTTACAGTACAATAGTATTCATAACTATGCATCCTAAAACTTTTATAACAATGCTAAATCCATCTAATAAAAAAAAATACTGGATAAAACCTATATTTGATTCATTGAAATTATCTCTTTTTCAGGTCAACCTGGACCATGCTCACAATGCATCAGCAAAGAAGATGTGAGGAAGGCTGTAACTGAGGCCTTGGAAGTGGGGCCTCATGCACGGGAAATAATCAATGATTTCATGGCAAACTTTAGTTGCACAATATGTCGTGAAGTCATTAAGACGGATATAATTGTTGGTGAATGCTGTGGAGCCATWATTGGGTGCAGGGAATGCACCAACATTTGGTACCAAGAGAACGAAATGTGCCCCAAGTGCAGGGACATTAGAGGGGATGTCAAAAGACTACACTTGAGGGGCTTCTCAGATGTATTAAAGAAAGCAGTTGAAATGCAGGACAACAGTAATGAAGATTAAGTTTTGACGATCATAGTAAAAATGGAAACACTTTCCTCATCACAACAAAATAGAGATTTTATCAACTAGATAACTAAACACATTTGTAGTAGTTGGCAATCATGCAATGCTGATAATTGTCAAAATGTGATAAATTGACAATCTCAGATATTTTAAATTAGTTTTCATAAGCCTAGCTTGCAATTGCATTGTAACATTTTGCAATGACAGCTATTTCTTAATGTTTTGTGGCAGACTGCTTTGCATTTTAAAACTAGTGATGGCATTGTTACAGCTCATAAAAAAGCAGTATTTTCAAAGTTCATACAGCATATATCACTGTCAGAAAATGCTTCTTACATTGTCTGTTTACATTTAGTAGCAATTGAAGAGTTCACAAGCCTAGGATACATGTAGCTGTGCTGCAAGCTACTGTATACTGGTGCTACAAGAGCACATGAGTAGTTTTCCAAAAAATATTAATATCACAATTATCTTTTAATCAAACCGAATTGATCATAGAAATATTGTCTTACTTTCTAGCTTGATTTCTTTGAACTTTGTTTTCATTGCAATAAGTTCTTGGAAAATTGAAACAAAAATTATTGTGTCATCAAGTGGGTGACACACTGCATTACACAAAACTGGGAATGGAGTAAGAGGAAAGTGAGTCCATTTTTACCAACCAGTCAATGTTGAGTTATAAAAAATGTCTTTAGATACATGTTTACATTTAAAAAAGGTTGTCTCAGTGAAGAGCAATATGCACAACTGAAGGTCCAGTTGGTATGGATTACCAAATATGTCAATATTCACTCATGAGAGCCCTCAATACTCAGATTTTCAAGAATGGTAATTTGTTTGGCTTGTTTTTCAGCAGGTACTGTAGATGAGTATTTTTCATCAAAATTGAATACCCTTATCAACTTTTGGTACTGCAATCACTGCAATTACACTCAGACAACTTMTTTTTAAATAGCCACTTATTATACATCAAGAGATTTCAAAGAAAAATTTCTGATCCCCAAGTGGCATTTCAGACAGTTCATGTTATGCTGTCATTGCACCAAACCAAATACATATAGTGTGATGTAGTGCACATGAACAGCTRGGTGTATGAATRAGTTAAGTTTGGTACAACTTTGGCACAGAAACTCCAGTCGTGCTACACAACAAAAACCCAATCAATCTAACACTGTATTTCGACACATSYACAATTTGGTTTGTGACAATAATAGCATGACTGACCCAAGTGAAGTCTAGGATCAGAATGTTGTTTAAATTGTGTAATATGAACATTTGACATTTTATCAAGTCATTATGGAGAAGGCAATACAAATGTCCTGCTGTTAGCCATTGCATTGTCATATTATAAAATTAATCTTGTAAGAGATCATGAAGCTCAGTCTGTGGTTTGTCTTGAAACTAAATAACCAAAGAAAAAGACATTCTTGTAGCAAAAAAAACTTGAATTAAAATACAATAAAAGTTTGCTAGGGGATATTGCATGTTTAAATTCAGAAACTTCAAGTGTGCACAGTCTCCAACACACTTTGRGCCCTTTTTTGTGGCAGATAAGGTAGTTTGAAAAATTCCAAGGATTCTACTCAGATTTCAATTAAGATGATACACCTTCATTTTGCACTGACATARTATAATTGCAGAGAGACATTTTATAAAGCAAACAATACAAATCATGATTGTATAAACTTCATAACATACTGTAAACTTCATAAAACTTCATGGCATCAAAGTTGCCAATTATAATGTACATGTACTGTCACTGTCACTGTCAACAAATATTGKTTTTTTAATCGGTTRTTAAAGGTGCATACAAATACAGGAATGATAAAGTTTGATATCTGATCTATTTAGTTACCTTGAGCTACCTGTGTGCATATATTAATAACATGACATGGCTCATTTTAAAGACTGTATTCTTGACAGATGATAGCACATCATGGAATCCTACAGAAAGAAAAAACATCCATTATCCATTTACTTAGCCTACTAGTTTTTTTGTGTCAGAGCAATATTAATATATACAATCATTAAAACTATTTAAAAGGTCTGGTACATGTACAGTGTGTCATATTTATCATGTAAGCCACGGTCATAAATTCACTTGGCTAGAGTCATAAACGTATAATTGACTAAAAGTCATCAACAAACATCATCAACAAACATCAAACATCAAACAACACCAACATACAGTGGACACTCTACAAACTCTTTCACTGTAGCAACTCTAAATTGAAATTACAATAATTTTGGAATAAAAACAAATTATGATATCATAATCAGTCTTCATAAATGGAACAATTTGTTATGCCCATGCATCGTTATGCTATCTAGATAAGAAAAATTGTTTTGTTTTGTCACAGTTTAAAAGCTTAACTTGTGAAAATAGCTTATTACGTGTACTAGTATTAAAGTTAAAACCGTTATAATATACTTACTCATCTCAGCTCAATTGCACGGCTGCCACTCATTCACGTAATCAGCTCGGCACRCAGATAAGTAAAAGATTACTGTACCATTCTTTATAAGTGTCCGATGAAGAATTCAAGAAATTTCGGCCTTCCGCCTTTACTTAAGCAGATTGATGCTCCAGAACACCGCTATCTTGACTCCAACTACTTACAAAATATCAAAGGCCATGCAGAAAGAAATGTCTTGCAACCGTTGAATCTGAGTTTTACCGAATWACATATGTATGATTTGGAAAGAAAGCACATACAACTTTCCATATCCATTGCTGTAGACGGCGGCCATCTTGGAAATATTTAGAAAACCTGGGGGGTGCATTTTATACAAAACAAGTTCGTTCGCAGGGAAGGGGGAACGTCAATACTGGCGCTCATTATTTTTCCAATTTTGGAAGTATGAAAAACGAGTTTTAAAAAATTGAAACCGTATTCAAAGTTTATCTTTTTGAAATGAAAAAAATGAAAAACAAAATTTGAAATCTGAAACTCATTTTTCAAAAATAGAATTTTTGAAAATCACGATCAAAACTCAAATTCCAATTTTCGAAATTTGAAATGACAGGCCTATTACGATATTTTTATATTTTGAAATAAATGAAAATTGAATGGCGGAATGGTACACGCATTATATACACCTTGAACATCGTCAATACTTCCAGTCAATTGATGCCATGAAATTTACTATAACAAATACAGTGACACAACAAAATCAATCATTCCTATTGCTGTATCGAAAGAAATCCTCAAATATACCTCTATACATATCTGATATGCGACAAATACTGAATAATACTAATTTTGATGTAGTACTTGGTGATTTCAACATTTATTAATTACTTAAACACAGATGAATGCCAGCCACTTAAATCACTAATGAACTCTTGTCCAAATTGTACAAAAACCAACATTTATTTCGGGAAGTTTATTAGATCAATTTTTTTTAAAGCCCAAACACTATAATATACTTCAAAACAATGATATTAGTACATATTTCTCTGATCACGAAGCTGTACAAATCAATATTCAAAAACAAATCAAGTAGCTATTTTTTATGCGTTTTAGATACTATTCCAATACCAAGAAATGACTTCAGTTCAATCATTTTACCAGAGGTTAACCATATTCAACCCAACAATATCAGACCTGGTAAATTGTCCTGCATGAGCTGCTATACATGACATCCCTATCTCAAGCATATTCTATGCTCTAATCAAGTTAGATCAGTGTGGTCTATTTACTATCCCAAAGACAAATGAGATTACAAAGATCTATAATTCAATCCAGTGACTATCATAAAAACTTATTGACTTTAGAAATGTTTCTCTTTTTTCATAGCAGACTTTGTAAAAAAAATTCATGAAACACACTCCTTAAAATTGTAATAACATTATAACATTAACAATGTTTTGATAATGTTTTCCTATCAATCAATTAGTTTTTATAAAAAATAACTATTTCACAAATGAAAATGGCAAAAGTTAAAATGTTAGTGTCTGCAATGGTAATGTCCGCAATAGCACATCTAGATAATTAATTTATTTTTTGTCAATTTTCTTTTGAAATAATTTGCTCACATGACAGCAATTGTTGAGTTGCAAACGAAATAAAAACCAGTTTTTGTTGTGCACATTACCCTTTTGTATATAAAAGTTTTAAGACTGATTAATCAAGCTGAAGTGGTATAAAGGAAATTTGGCAATTGCAAAATGATTATTGAAGTATCTTAGTGCTTGCGATTTTGTATTTCCACCTAAGTATATTTCCATTCCATAATCATGACAGATAAAATCTGCATGTAAATGGATCAAGATTCTCACTAATACTATGGCACATTTAATACCATGCTGCAGAGTAGGTGTGGCCATTTTATCAAAATAAACTGTGATTTATGTTCATTCAGTATATTGACAATAACAAAATATGGTTTTGATAAAGACTTAGACGTTTTTGAAAATCAATATTTTTTTCTCTCTCATGTTGAATTGACCATAGACAATACATATTATATTTTTCTGTAATTTTGATCTTTTAAAATCTTCATATATCACATTGTTACTACTACATTTATTACTATTCTATTGTTTAATTGCAATCATGTAACTACACTGTAAATCACAAATTTTAAAAGTATATGTCAACAATTACAACTTGATCATGCAGTTATATATATATATACATTGTTTTACAATATGTGGTGATCTATAGTGCTATCTAACAAGATAGCACTTACACTGGACTAATAGCCAGTGTACTTCCAAATAATCGTAAGATGACCTTAATAACTCATGACATTCATGAATACAGGTAAGCCAAACCAAAAAAAAAATTTATGCTTAATATCAAATAAAATGTGATTATGATTTATTCAGACAATAACAATTACAATTGACATTTAACAGATTTAAAAATCTCAAGCTACACAAAATCCACAAAAGTTATGGTAATATTGAATAGTACAGTATGTGCACAGTCCAAATTACAAGACACAACACATGGATATCAAATTCAAGACAAGTTCTCCACAATACTGAAAATATTTAACAGTGGCTTTATACTACATGTATATATGCACCGTAGTTAACAGTGGCTATATGCTATACGCACCCTCCTTGCACAGACAATGGTCCACCAACAATTAGCTATTGGATATATTACAAGCTACATGTACAGGGAAGTCACAAAACAATAATGACATGCAGTTACTATCCAACTATAGAGACGCTATGGCTATAAAGACAGTGTACAGATGCAATGCGGTGAAAAAGATTAAAACATCAAACAAACCAAAAACAGCCTACTATAGAGATATTGCCAATTGCATCTGACAATAATAATTTGAAGATAAGGCATATCATCACATGAATGGAAACAAACACTGGAATATCGCTGAATATCATTGGAATAAACCTGAGCTTCATCATTAAAATCCTGCAGATTACATGTATTTAAACATGATTAAACCTATTCTTGTATGAAGATATAAAGAAAGACATCTCACAAAATTAATGGAACGATACTACTACAACTTATGAACAAAAATACCCTATTCAACATTGCTGGAAATGATATTGAGAATGTTAACAAATTTAGATACCTGGGTCATATGATCTACTCTGGAATATGGTGGCCCATCATTATCACACAAATTTTCTGATAGTATTCTTCTTTTTCACAGCATTCTTCAATATAATTTTAGAATAAATATATTTTTTATTGCYTTTTTAATGTGATTCGATGTTTGTTTTCACTTTTGTTCGCTAAACCGTTTTCATCTTCAAATTGTATTCGATTTATTTGTGAACTTCGTTTTTATTTCTAATTTAAAATCTAAAATAAAATATATTTTAATTTTTGTTTTCTGCATTGATAATACTGGTCCGTTTGTTTTGATTTTTTTTTCGATTTTGTAAAAAAATATGATAACGCTGGTCCGTTCAAAAATAAATGAATAAAAAAATGGAACAGACCATATCAGCGAGCGTTATTATCAAGCCTGGGTTCTACTCCCATGATGCCGTAGGATATGTCATTTCCCATGTGCTCTCGAGCGCTTCCCGCAGTATAAGGTGTCAGAGAGGGAAAATTGAAGATGGCGAAGCGTGCAAAAGGGAAAGAAACTTGGGACGATTTTGAAGCTAGAGTTGGAACAAAGCGTCATGGAGGTGAGGCAAAAAGAATTGGATTGAAGGTTCCCAACGACATTCTAGTACAACGGATGTCTAGTACGGCATCAGGTCGCCTTAAAAAGTTTGAGCCTTTGGACACTCGTGACTTTGTTCCTTTCTCTGATTATGATGATCTGACCATCGAAAACGTAAAGGAAGCGTGCGAAAAGTTCTATAATGCTCCCGAAGGAACTTGTGATATCTTAGCCTCAGATAGAGGGCCATCTTGCTCTAAACTCGAGCAAATCAAAGG